GGTGACGTAGCCGGTGAGGTCGTTGGTGACGTGGTCGGTGAGGTCGTGGGTGACGTGGTTGGTGACGTCGTTGGTGACGTAGCCGGTGAGGTCGTTGGTGACGTGGTCGGTGAGGTCGTGGCTGCGTCACAACACTCAAGCAACAAGTTGTACCGAAGCAGGATCGTGTCACCCAAAGGTGGGACGATGCACCACTGTGTTGCAGGGTCGCCATCTTGATAGCATGTGTCGACATCTTCACAGATTAGTCCTGGTGCAAACGGATCCCCAGAAGGCTTGCAACTCTGGAACCAACATTGTGTGTCGGAGTTTCCATTCACACAGGATCCAAGGATCCGTGTGTTGGGCGGCGGCGTGACGCAAAGGTCAAGACTGAGCGCGTTGTAAAAAAATTCGCACGTGGTCTTGGGGCCGTCGAAGTCGCATGCTTTGGGGTTTGAGGTGGAGGCGTCCAAGGAGCAGTTTGGATCATCTGTCTGGGTCTCGAAACCTCAAAAACGCATATACGGAAAACAAGACCAAAAGCAGCGTTTGCCACCCATATATGATTGCCAAGGCGCACAAGCACTGCTGGTTGCCATCGCACCGATATTTGTCATCAACCTTTTGAATTCCAAAGGGATTGGCCCCATCGAAATCGCACGTGGCGGTGATTCCACCGCTGACGCTCTGCATCCACACGACCTCGAGTGTGATGGTGGACTCTTTCTGGTTTCCGTTGCGAAGTCCCTGGCGTGTTTGCGGCGGAATAACGACCTTGGGCCCCGGCAAAGCCATTTTTCACACCCAGCTGCATCAGGACTGACGGGTCCTGCGTGAGAAAAACCAAACTCTTTCATGGAACCAGCATATCATATCAAAAACAAACAGAAACGGCATTCACGGGCCCGACATGAAAACCCCGACAGCGACATGGGCGAGGATTCGCACGAATCCCTCTCTGTTGTTGTCTTTCCAAAGCATGAACCTACTGGGAACAAGAACATACTAGTAACAAGGGCATTTCTACTAGTTGCAAGAAGCAAATCGATTCAACTAGTAGCTAGAAGCTAGTAGGTTGGAGGCCATCTACTAGTAGCAAGGACGCTACAAGCAAACTAAAAGCAATGACCTCTAGCGGCTCGCAACTTGGCGATGCCCCGCCTCCAGCGGCTCGCAGGACTCGTCCCTTTCAAGAACATCTGCGAACGCCCATTCACACAGCAGTGCCACAAGCATGCCGCGCATCCGCATCATCCGCATCATACGCATCACAAGAATTTGGGGTGGGGGAGTCTGCCTCTTTGAGCTCAAAGGCGGCTGCAGAACAGGAACCATAATATGGGCATGATGCGAAGTAGACTGCCAGATTTCCCCATGCGAAACTTGAAATATCCTATCATCTAGCCGCCATGATAACTTTTTGTGTTCCCGTCCCAAGATCGTTCCAAAGGCAAACCTAGAAGCAATGGAAGCGATGGCCTAACGCAGAAGCAATGGCCTCCAACCTAGAAGCCAAGGTTGGAGGACTTTCGAGAGAGCTTAGTGAAATGAGGATTTCTAGTAGCGCCCTTGCTCCTAGTAGTAAGGCCAGGAGCCCCTAGTAGCGTCCTTGCTCTGCCAGGAGCCCCTAGGACTTCTAAGAGGGGCGCCTGCACCAGCTTCTTGTGGGGCTCTGACCCCGAAATCTTGTCATCTGGGCAGCTCTCCAAAGAGGCCTTCCCATAACGGATGGCTAGGTCGGGTGGCGTGTATGAGGTGGGTCGGACGGCGCCATCTCGCAACATGGATCAGTTCACACCTATCTCCATCCGGGGATGGCCTCCAACCTGACTTTGCATCCACCCGGATGCGACTTGCCCTGCTAGAATGCCTTGTTTCTTGGACAGCTCGACCTGGAGTTCCTATAGTAGCTTTCTTGTTACTACGAGTAAGGCACCTGTTACTACTAGCGTGGCACTTGTTTCTACTAGCTTCTTGTTTCTACTAGTAAGGCACCTGTTACTGCTAGCGTGGCACTTGTTTCTACTAGCTTCTTGTTACTACTAGTAAAGCCGGGATAACACCACCTCAGGTGACTCAAGTCCAGATGTGTAGGCAACCCATCCATTTAGGCTCAAGAGGGTTTCTTCAACAGCTTCTTTTGTGAGGAACTCCGTTTACGTTTAACTTGTGGCATATACCTCCAGTAGCAGAAATCTTTTGTATAGACTGTGTATGTATATATATATATAATATATGCATGTATAGGGGTAATGGAAATACATTTTTCTCGCCAAGTGTCTCCGGTCAGCATTGAGATACAACAAGATCCACCTCAACACAACGACGGCCAGCAAAAAATTAACCTCGCGGCAAGAACACGCCTCCAAACTGTGCTCCAACCGACTAGCAATGGCCTCCAAACTGCGCTTTGATGTCTGCTTCCTGCGCAAAATATCAACGCAAGCAAATGTTTGGGTGTCTGCTTCCAGATTGGTGAACCAGTCAAGCGACTGTGAATCCCTAGGCGGAAGCCAATATGCACCGGTCTTGGACGGAACTCGAAACGAAGGTAATGTTGAAGCTGTTCTGCTGCTCTAGCAACGACAAAAGTAAAGATTATGCCCTTGCCGCGCCTTCTCTTGAATCAGCGTCCTCAAGCTTGGAAAGTTGTCTAAGATGTAGACATCCTTGGTTTGGCAATGGAAAAGAAGGCAAGGGCCCCTTCAACAAGGGCCCTCGACAAGCCCCCTTATCAAAGAGACCCAAAACCTGCAGTTTTCATCAACTGTCAACCTTCAGACTCGATCTTGACCGTGGTGATTCTGTTTCTGTCGGTTTGTAAGGCGCGTGACAGAAGGGTAACGTACGCAGTGACATGGTGGCTTTGTCACAGTCACATGAAGTGACAACAAACTGCAACAAGAGCAACGATCAGGCAAACCACAAAATCAAGAAAAACAGCAGGCCAGAGGCCAGAATGACAAAACCAACAGCAATACGCAATGGCAGCAGCAATATGAATTGACAAAAACAGCAGCAGCAACAACAACGACGACGACAAAGCAACACAAAAACACATTGGAGGCTACTGCCATTAGGTTGGAGGCCATTGCTACTAGGTTGGAGGCCATTGCTACTAGGTTGAAGGCCATCGCTATTGGGTTGGAGGCCATTGCTACTAGGTTGGAGGCCATCGCTATTGGGTTGGAGGCCATCGCTATTGGGTTGGAGGCCATTGCCATTAGGTTGGAGGACATCGCTATTAGGTTGGAGGACATTGCTACTAGGAGGGATGCCATCGCTATTAGGTTGGGGGACATTGCTACTAGGAGGCAGGTCAGCAAAAACAAACAAAACACAATTATTACATCTGGAGCTGATTTTGTGACTTGGTCCAGGCATCAGTGACTTGGATGACTCGCAATGCACAGGCTTCCGTAGCTTCTCCGCTTTTTCCTTGATGAATATGCATACGTGTATAGTTCATGTATATTGAAAAAACACATGTCTGAAATGCAACTGCAAACACGTTAAATCGCCGATTGACCCTTGGGAAAGATAGCGTCAAGAAAGCTCTTGGCATCAAGGCATTCCTGAGCCTGGAGGTCTTGCAATACTGTGATAAGTTCGGGAGGGCATCCTCCGCAACAATCCAAGACCTGGCAGGTTGTGGCAAACTTGGACTAGGCCGGGCCGGGCGTGCCCAAACTAAGAGCGATGGCCTCCAACCTAATAGCGCCTCCAAACTATCTTCTCCAACGTACTTGGCGAAAGACCAAAGGTTTGCCCAGCACCTTCCTCCAGTCGTCCGCATCAAAAGAGCTTGTATCTGTTCTAGCAAGCACCTGGGAGGCGTCGGACCAAATTCTGAAGCTCAAACTCAATGCGTCAAGTATGATTTGACCAACACCGAATGTGTTTGAACGTAATATTAGTAGCAAGGACGCTAGGTGGAGGCCATCGCTACAAGAAGCTACTAGTTCCAAAGGTTCAAGACCTTTGCTACTAGGAGCAAAGGGCATCGCTACTAGGAGCAAGGACGCTCCTAGGGGCTCCTCGCCGTACTACTAGTAACAAGAAGCTACTAGTTCCAAGGGTTCAAGACCTTCCTTCCTCTTTTCAGGTGTTCAGCGGTTTTCGACAGGTGATTCGACTGGTTTTCACTGCACCTGCTGCACCTTCTTCCTGGCGTTTTCCATCCCATCTCAAAGGCGGTTTGAGAAGCGTCTTTTTGGTGCTAAAGAATCGGTGACACTGCAATTGCTGCGCAAAAATACCTGCGGAGTCCTAGGAGCCTTTTCAAACAAATCCTTCACTCAAAGGATTGGACATAGCTTCTTGCTCCTAGTAGCGTCCTTGCTCCTAATAGCTTCTTGTTACTACTAGTAAGGCACTTGTTACTACTAGCGTGGCACTTGTTACTAGTAGCTTCTTGCTCCTAGTAGTGATGCCAGGAGCCCCTAGTAGCTTCTTGTTCCTAGTAAGGCCAGGAGAGCCCGTAGGGTGCAGATAATGAGTGTAGGCTGGAGGCCATGGCAGTCTGGAGTGTAGTCTAGTGAGTCTCGGATTTGCGCTAGCCACTGGGCAAGTGCCACTCCGAGCCGAAATCAATATCGAAGACACGAACAATTGTCTTCAGAATTCAACAGGAAATACAGGAACACAAGTGTAAACCTGTATGAAGGACCAAGGGTTGCCAAAATCCAATCTTTTGTGTTTGAAAAAGGACATGGGATATATACATCCCCCAATATGTTCGATTGCCTGATCATCTCTCATTCAGAAAGGCACAAACGGATTCGGCTGGTCCACTCATATCAATGCTGCAACCTTTTCCAGCATGGAAGGGCGTTGCCCTGTCTGCGTTTTACATGTAGAGTGCAATCTTGAGTGAATTAAAAGGTTTGAATTCAGCCAAAAAACTCTAGGTTGGAGGCCATCGCATTCAGCCAAAAAACTCTGTGGAAAACTCAGCACTGAACTTGAGCTTACCGGAGCGGGTTCTCCACAATGCGAGCACTGAAGGGCCACTGCCTGGAAAGTTGCTCGACAAACGATCCAACTGAGCTCATCTCCTACATGTTACATCTTGTTTATGCTCTCTTTTTATGCTGTTTTCTGCCTATTGTCTACTTTTCCAGCTCTTCTGTCTGTGTCGCTTTTTGTTTCAAAAGTCTTTCGATACTTATCTTTGCGATTGCGTGGGCACTCCAAGCAGTTCAGCTGCGCTACATGCCAAGAGAAGGCCACCAATCTCGCCACCACCCGGCAACCGAACAAATTCATTATACACCCCCTCCCATGAACCTTCTCCCTGCATCTTGCACATACCTGCAATTAGCTATACCTTTACTTTTGACTAGAAGATCTACATCAAATTTATCTGTTGGCTGCTCTTGTGTTTAAGAGCAAACAGCGCAGTGCGACAATATCAATTGAAGAGCGAGGGTCGAAGCACTCCGGAGATTGTAGCACCGGGTTGAGAAAAGTCAAGATTCCTCTGTGGGGCTGAAGAACCACTTTCGCATTGGCCCAATCCCAGCGTATTGCAAAATAGAAGAGGAGCAAAGGGCATCGCTACTAGGAGCAAAGACGCTACTAGGGGCTCCTGGCCATACTACTAGGAGCAATGTTCGCTATTAGTTCCAAAGGTTCAAGACCTTTGCTACTGGGAGCAAAGGGCATCGCTACTAGAAGTTGTAAGACACATGCCCATTCTCACTCAAAGGGCGGCCTATTGACTTCCTGTGACCTATGGTAAGCTCATGCAGCACTCGCGCAAATGAAACAGTTGGGTGGCCCCTTTAAGTTGCAGGCGCCCCTATCTTCTTTGTTTGGAGACCAAGTGCAAAATGTTCAAAGGGAGAATTCGATAGCATGCCATGAGCTGAGAGCTGCAAAGTGGCTGTGGGTCAAAGGATACCTTTTGACACTCTTGCCATGTTCTGTCGCATATGGTCTAGGTCGTGGACTCCGGGCTTGCTGGCGGCGAACCTAATTCGGGAAAACTGGAGCCAAGCAGTTCATGAAAACCTCTTTGCTCCTAGTAGCGTCCGATCGCTCCTAGTAGTAAGGCCAGGAGCCCCTAGTAGCGACCTTGCTCCTAGTAGCGATGCCAGGAGCCCCTAGTAGCGTTCTAATAGATGACAAAAATTAAGCATTGACTTTCTCTCTTGTCATTTCTCTGTCTGGAATGAAGCACACCTGCTCGAAAATCTCCAGAAACCTGAGCGAGTCCCATTCTTGTGAGAGAAACACCTTCATATTAGAAGCAAGGACGCTACTAGGGGATCCTGGCATCGCTACTAGGAACAAGAAGCTACTAGGGGGCCTTACTACTAGGAGCAAGAACGCTACCAACAGTGTCGAAAAAGAGAAAAGAGGTCTAACACAGGTTGCTTCTAAATTGAAACGCTTCTAGTTTGGAGGTTATTCATATTATTAGAAACAAAAGCACCTATTAGAGGCCATCGCTAGTAGGTTCAAGTTCATCGCTCTTAGGTTGGAGGCCATGAAGGACATCGCTAGTAGGGTTGGAGGCCATCGCTAGTAGGTTGGAGGCCATTGCTCTTAGGTTGGAGGTCATTGCTATTAGTTTTGTGTATCTATTTTCTTTTGTTTTTGACAATGTTGATTTGAACATACGGAATCGCGTTGGCAACCTTTCGCACTCCGGGGCGTTGGTGCAACCATCGATACGACTCACCAAGGGCGTTTGCGCTGCTCAAATTGGGTTTGCTACATGTATCACAATATTGATGTTCTTTTATGTGTTATGCGTGTTATTTTATATGCGTGTGTGCTACCCAAAAAGGAAGTCTACCATTTGAGGCCTTTGAAGCAAATAAGAATTTGGGCTTTCCATGGTCTTGCTGTGCTTCTTAAATGAACTTCCTGTTTCACAAAAGCTAGCATATCAAAATCCTGACTTTTTCTGCAAGACACCTCATCTAGAAAAGAATCCGTTCACAAGACATGATTTATTGTTTATGCAAGAGTTGCTAGTCTATTTCAAAGTTCCTCCTTTGCACAAGTCTTTGAACCAGCAAAGTTGAAGTCATCCTTGGTTACTTGAACCATGATCTTCTTACAGTCAGTTAAAGAAATGATTTAGAGCGCCTCTGTCAAAGGGAATTCATCATGCACCTCTAACGACGTGTTTCATTCAACAAGAGCTTCAAATCTCAAACTCCAAATGAAGCACTTTGAAAAAACTCTGTCACATGTCCTAGCATCCTTCATTCACAGAATGTGTATGCGTTGATCTCCTTTATTTAGCAGTCACAGTCATTATCACCAGATTGAATTCGTAAGTGCTACGGTATATTTTTCTTGGTTGGTTCCTCCTCTTCTTTTCAACCCTTCCCTACTGGTACAAGATTTGCTTTTCCTCGCCTTTGAAAAGCCAGTCCAAGTCTCATTAGGTCTGCCACTTGACTTGCTCATGTCTGAAAGGAACGCTTTGCTTAACTCTGTCCTTACAAATAGGTGGAACGCTTCGCAAAATATGGAGATTCAAATGGAACATCCAAACGACGGTGATTGGCCCAGCCACAACCCATCCTCTCATAGGAGCTTTTAGGTGATATGTCTCATTGTCGATCCATCCGACGTGGAGTCTTTTGCAAGGTCTGACGTGTGAAATTCACACTGATCTCGCTGTTTCCCGCTTTGCTCTGAAGCAACCACGAGATTGCTTGGGGTTGTGTACCAAGGTACGGGTATTCTAGAGGAACGAAAATGAGCAAGGCAACAAAAAGCCTTACTACTAGGAGCAAGGACGCTACTAGGGGCTCCTGGCCATACTAGGAGCAATGTTCGCTACAAGCGAAATATTCAGAAACAAATGACTGAGAAGGGAATAGTGTGACTGAAATCCGCGAATGCAATCCAATGTCCACAGAAAAAACAAAGGTTTGACTCAACACAGAATGAAACGTGTCTTGTGGTTTGACTCAGCAATGTGGTTTGAAAGTCTCGTCCCATTAAAATATTTGTGTTACTAGTAGTAAGGCACTTGTTTCTAGTAGCAAACATTGTTACTACTAGTAAGGCACTTGTTACTAGTAGCGATGCACTTGTTCCTAGTAGCTTCCTAGTAATCTACTGTTCTCTGAGCCCTTGACCGAGCTTCTCCCTGAGGAAATGCGACTTCTGCGACTTCTTCTGCGATGTTACATGTTGGGTGGCCGTGGCTTAGAGGCCATCGCTAGTTTGCTGGCTTGGAAGAGGCGTCGAATCCCATCGCGAAAAACGGCTCTACGCGGCTTCTTCGCCTGGACTGGAAAAGACCGAAGGGGCCTGAGACGAAGAAAAGAGTCACACGGAGTGGTCGCATGAGTCACACATGCCGCAAGCATGTTATATCTGCAAAAACCACTTTGACTTTGAAGAGTTATATAAGAGTTATATACTTCAGTGAAGGCAAAGGCAAATCTGATCTGCTTATACACAGTCTGAGGTCAAATCCTCGGAGAAGGCGCAATCCTGCACACAGGGCACAGTTCCCTGTTACTGCAGTTCAATCTCAGATGCGAAAGACAAAGTTGAGAAAACCCGGACAAGTTAGAAAGAAATTAGACACGCAGGCAAGTTTTAGCTATTCCAGAATCACAGAAAATCACAGGAGCCCGATTCCAAAACTGCATAATTGGGCATGACTTCACTCCCAAACTGGGCAGTGCGTGGTGCGCCTGCCCTGCTGAAAGGGGGAAGCTGTTCTCTCAAAAAGCTGTAGGTAAAATGTGTTGAAAACGCAAAGCGATGGCCTCCACACCCTACTGGCGATGGCCTCCACCCTACTAGCGATGGCCTAGAGACTTGCCTTGAAAACGCAAAGATGAAGTCAAGTCTTTGAGTCTTGTCAAGTCTAAAGACTGAGGCCTGCACCACTGGAGGCAAAGGCCCAGCGGGGTTTGAGACACCCACCGAAGCGATGAATTTGATCGCCTCGAAAAGCTGAAGCTTTCGTGCTGAATTCTTAGAAGCAAGGACGCTACAAGGAACAAGTGCATCGCTTCTATTAACAAGTGCCTTACTAGTAGAAACAAGAAGCTACTAGGTACTAGGGGCTCCTGGCATCGCTACTTGGAGCAAGGACGCTACTAGTAGCAAAAAACTAAATCAACATAGTGTTTTTTGCCCGCTCTCCCCTGCTTCCTTACTTAATGAAGTAGGTGCCTACTCAAGTAAGTACAGGGCAAACTTGTTCGCCCCTAGCTATATACTAGGATGCTACTACATATGGATGCAGGATAGTCCACTAATGATTTTGTTCCTATTTTTTCCGTACTGTTCTTGAAAAAAACTGAGGAGTCTGTCACCAAAAGCCATAACAGTGGGCAGGATTTCGCGTTTTCCGCTGCCAATGTCAAAAGAACGGGAGTGGTCTGAGTGTGAGCCACGTCCAACAAAACTTCAATGCACTCAGTGGTCGTTTGCAATGAAATTTCAATCTGGTGGCTTGCTCCCAAATCGATCGTCCACATGCGGAGTACAAGCCCAACAAAGCAACAGTGCACGAACCCCTACAGTAAACTTGTTGCAACTCGCAAGCGAGTGCGTTGCATGCAGGCAAAGGGCGTGAGGGCTACTGCATCTGAGCTTTTGGAAACAAAATGAATTATCTTTGCATGCTCAACTAAGTCAATTCCCTCTCTCAGTAGTCCCTCTGTCTCCATGGAGCTCCGAAACAAAAACGATAGGAAGAACTGGCTGCAAGAAACCACACAAGCAATGGCCTCCAACCGACTAGCGATGGCCTTCAACCTAGTTACTGACGACCAGAAAACCATACAAAAACAAGCACTACGCAGTCAGCACCGCCTGAAGCGAAAGGGCGGCTGCGTTGCTTACATTGGCTTTGTCCTGGAAGCTTACGAAAGTCGTGTTTGCCAAAGACCGTTGTCGCCTTTTTTTACTAGTAGCTTCTTGCTACTAATAGTAATTGTGTCTTTTCCACTTGTTTATCTTTCGGTAGACAGTAGCCATTCACACTTTGATGTGTAATCCGAGCGCGCCAACCACACGTCACCAAACCATGTCCGAGCCGAGCAAATGGAGCACAAATTTTCGGAGCATCGGAGTGGTTTCGCCCCTGAGGTTTCGAACTATGCAAGAAATCCACCCCGGCTTAGATTTTGCCCTACCCCGGTGGCATCTTGTTGGCAGAAACGTCTTACTGATCGATCCGGGCCTTGTCGCCAGGGGTGCGACCAGCAGATGTTACAACTGCCTGTCAGCAAATGTTTTCAACGCGCGATGGTCTCCACCCTACTAGCGTCCTTGCTCCTAATAGCGACGCCAGGAGCCCCTAGTAGCTTTTTGTTCCTAGTGGCAATGCCAGGAGCCCCTAGTAGCGTCCTTGCTCCTCCTATTCCTTACAACTGCTTCCCTTTTGCAAACTGTTCGCATGCTTTCACAACGAAATGCACATTCGTCATGCGGCCTTTGACAATGAGTGTGTGAGCAAACCGTACAAGGGCATTGGATAACAAGTCTGCAAATCGTAGAAAGTCAAACTTAAATGATGGACCCCATTCCCGCTGCATATTCCACATTGCAAACCTTTCGCACCATTTGCTTACTGAAAACTTGGAATAAGATCAACCTAAGATCGGAGAACTTTATGCCAATGTCGATTTGCCAGTACTTGGACCAGAAAGGTCCAAAATTGGTGCCACGCTAGTAGTAACAAGAAGCTATTAGTAACAGGTGCCACGCTAGTAGTAACAAGTGCCTTACTAGTAGTAACAAGAAGC